GGCAATTATAGCACTCCGTTTTTGTTTCGATGTGCCCAGTTGGAAATTTATGAAAACCCCTATAAATAATTTTACCTGCTATATTTACTTTTTGGTCTCGAGATGGGCGACAGTCCGACCCGAAGCTGTACATTTACCTGCTTTATAAAATTGTTCATCACCGGCAAGAGGAAAATATACAGGAAGTTGATTTTAATATACAGGAAGTCCTCGTTTTACGTAGATGGTTACGTTCTTTCAAAATTAAAACAGCGCCGTAAACCTTTGAATAGAAAGATTAAGGAAGGGACATATTAAAAACCTAAGATCGAACGCGACGGGGACCTAAAATGGCGGACTTAAATTCCGGTTTATCAGTTCCATTCTAATTTTATTCAAAACGTGTAAAAATATGATGTAGGGTAGACTCAATGATTTGTTGTTTTATTTTACGTTGTCAATGTTGGTATGGTTATTAAAATTGTTATCTATACTAATATATAAAATCCTTAAGTGACTGACATACTGATTAATCACGATCCTGCTCAAACCACTCAACGTAAGAAGCTCAATTTTGGCATACAGGTTGATTCTAGGGTGGAGAGGTTCGATAAGAAGGGATTTTTCGAAATTCCAGTTCCAAAAGGGTGATTACAATATATTTTATTTAAAAAACGGTCAAGTTTCCGAAAAAACGCTTAAACACGTATATTTTATTTTGTTTTTTTACATATTTTAAGATTTTTTAAAAATGTATACAGGGTATTTCGAAAAATCTTGTCATTGATTAATCACAATCCTGCTTAAAGCGCATGACGTAAAAAGCTGATTTTTGGAAAACAGATTGACTTTAGGGTGTAGAGGTTCGATAAGAAGGGATTTTTCAAAACTCGAATTCTAAGGGGGTGAAACTATGCCTCAAATATTAAAATATTTTCTATTTAAAAACCGGTGAGTTTTTCGGAAAAACTCTTAAACACGTATATTTTATTTTGTTGCTTTACATATTTTAAGATTTTTCTACACATAATCACGATTCTGTTTAAACTGCTTGACGTTTAAAGCTGATTTTTGGCAAACGGATTGACTGTGGGGTGTAGAGGTTCGATAAGGAGGGGTTTCTCTAATCTCAAATTCCAAGAGGGTGAAAACGCCCCTCAAATATTACAATATTTGTTATTTAAAAAACGGTTAGTCTTTCGGGAAAACGCAACAAGCATAATTTATTTGTTTTTTTACATATTTTGAAATTTTTTAAAAAATCATACAGGTGTTCCAAAAAGTTGGGTAATTTCTTAACCACGATTCTGCTTTAAACTGCTTGACGTAAAAAGCCTATTTTTGGCAAACGGATTTTTCGAAAGTCAAAGTCCAACGAGATGAAACTACCCCTCAAATATTACCAAGTTATATAATAATATCGCCATATTGTTTTTTCTCGTGCTGACATAAATGTGAGAAAATTTTATCCAGTTTGTATGTTAATGGAAATTCTTGCTTTGCTTAATCATCACCATTACAAATGATTAATTCGACGCGAACGAAGTCGTTTGTATACACGCTAGTAAAAATATATAATTATAATAAAAATAGATAAGTTATAATAATTATTTAGTAACACAAGCATCAGATACGCTACTGAAGCAGGTAAGTCAAATTGACGTATCTAAATTTTTTGACATTTAATCTTCGATAAGTAGTAAATAAAAGGAAAAATGCCAGAAAATTTTAAGTGACTTTCATAAACGATGTTTTTACTACACGTATGTATATTATATAGTCAATTATTTCCCTCGATTTTTGACCGAGATCTACCGCACGCTAGACAACCAACTACCTATTTCACAGTCTTTTTCGATAAATCACAATAGTGTCACTGTTAATTTAAGTTCTGCCACAATTTCCTTCTAGATTTACTAGCGCTAAACAATTACCAGTTGTAGAATAAATAATGGTTTAGATAGAACAGTTTTGAACTGCTTTTCTTAAAGAGGTAACATTTTAAATTTGGCGACATAACCGTAGAGATAATTCAAAAACGTCAATATGACAGCATGTACTTGTCACTTGTCATTTGTCATAGATTGTTCTAGAAGTTTTAGTTTTATTACGCAATTATTATTATTATTATGTTTCTAACAAAGCATTATTATTGTACTAAAACTTTCTTTATTAAATAAATAATATCCCAACAATATGCCACTAAAAATCCTTCTATATTTACTACCTTTAAACTACTATCAGTAGTAGAATCAATAATAAATAACAAAAAATAAGTTCAGTAAAGACTGACAAATCCAGAAAATTTCAAATCAAATTCAAATATGTCAAATGAATCGTCAAACAGAACTGTCAGGGATCCCTACCCTAGGGCCCCACCTCCATCCACCATGCACAAATACATGGATAGCATTATTATACTCCTTCCTTAATAAACTTCTTTTTATTCAAAGTCATAAACAGAAACAGGGGAATATTGAATTAAACACTCTTTTGCAACTACATACTAGTGCGTCTGAAAAGTAACTCACCCCCTATAACTTTTTTATTATTTCAGATAAAAAACGAGATTTGGTATGTTAGTATATGACATAAATTAAAACTGATTGACGTATTCAATTGTTTTCGCCCACTTCCTGTTTCACCAATGAAAATGACACTCTGAATCGAATGACATATCATATGTCCACTTTTGACATTTTCGCATATGGTTTATTTGAAATTGTAACATGCAGTTCATAACGACAATATGACCCGATATACCAAGTGTGTGGTACCAAATTATTCGTAAAAAAATGCTTTTTTCAAATATGCTAATGAGCCACCTTTGTTTCATTTGAAAAAATTGAGATATGATTAAAAATACGATTTGGGCATCTTTTAACTGGCCAGGATAAGACACTAAAAACATTAGACGATCAAATCTATTTTTCAATGACTCCTTGATTAAAAATTGGTGTTTCTAGCACAGCCATGGAACTCTAGATTGAAATGTAAAATATTACTTGTTTAAGCGAGGATGTAAACATGTTCATGTTTTGACATTCTCGCATATCACATGTTGACATGTGATATGCCATTCTATTCAGAGTGTCATTTTCTATGGAATAAAGTAAAAAAATACCGAGGGTGACATTTAAAAATCAGAAGTTGTAGTCATTTCCGGTGAAACAGGAAGTGACCGAAAACAATTGAATACGTCAGTCAATCCTAATTTATGTCACATACTAACATACCAAATCTCGTTTTTTAATCTGAAAAAATAAAAAAAGTTATAGGGGTGAGCCACTTTTGAGACGCACCCGGTATAGTAAATATAATGACTTTTTATCGTTGAACTTAGTTCAATAATCAGATATTTTACGATTGAAATTGGGCCAGAATTTTTCGAGAAAAAAACTGAGCTTTTATTAATCTTATACTACAAAAAAAAACTAAATAGAATTGCCGAATTTTTAGAGTTCACTTGAATTCGAGTTATGTTTGGACAACCGGTCTTAATATACACACAACCAAACATATATGGAATCATCTATTATTTCTCATAATTTTTGAGATGTATGAAAATTTTGTGTTTATGAATAAAACTCAGTCCTTACCAATGACTTTTAATGAAAAATAATCCATATAGCAATACAAAAAATTAATCAGTTCCAAAAATAAACAAAATTGTATTTTTTGGTTTCTGAAACGAAATTAAGATATAAATTTTTAATGGCCAAAAAGCATAAACAAAGAGAAAATTAATAATTTGAATACTCCTTGTTGCCACCTCTAGCTCTTATGCAAGCTTCTATCCGCACTGGCATGCTTCTTATTAAATTATCCACGTTGTCTTGAGGTATGTTTTCCCATTCTGCTAATGCTGCATTAATAAGCTGTGCGAGTTTCGACGAGCTCTAACCCTGCTTTTGAGCTAGTCCCACAAGCGTTTGATAGGGTTTAGATCTGGTAAATAGGCAGGCCAGTCCAAAACTATAACACCTTCCGTTTCAAGACATTCTCTAGTCACTCTGCTGGTATGGGGAGGTGCACTATCGTGCATGAAGTTAAAATTATCCCCAATTGCAGCTCTCTAAAGACGAACGATTGGTTCTAGCACTAAATCAAAATATCTCCCACCTGCTAAAATTTGTTGAAGTGGTAACAGTTATACCTCCATACATACTCATACCTCCCCAGAACATTACAGTTCCTCCTTTATGTCTTGGTACAGATTTGGCGGCCTGAAGTCTCGCTCGTCTTCCTGGAGCTCTGAGAACCCGAATTCAATGGTTATCTGATCTTAGGCCAATTCTGGTCTCATCCGAAAAAAGAACATTTTGCCAATTCTCAGTTGTCCAGTTTTGATGTTGAAGGCGTCAATTTAGCTGGTCAATTTTATTTTGCCGAGATAACTGTGGGATCCGTAACTCTCTCCTGCTGTAAAACTCTCGTGCCCGAAGCCGTTTTCTTATGATTTCAACTGAAACGTTCACACTTGTAGCTGCCAGAAGTTGTCTTTATAGCTCTGGATGAGAAACATTGGGATTTATTCTAGCAATTTAGCACACAAGGCGATCTTGTTGTTCAGTTGTGAATCTTTGACGACTTTGTCTGGGCCTATCCTTGTGTGTTCCGAATTCCAAGTATCTTCCATATGTTTTCGATGCAACACCCTGGGTAACGCCTACTATCTCTGCTACGTCTTTCTGGAGCATTCTTTGTTCGGTGAGTGGAATAATTCTTCCCCTCTGTACATCTGTTAATCCAAGATAAGGCATTTTTTTTTGGATTGAATGAAAATTACCGAACAATCGTGATCTTACTACCGAACACAAAATTCAAAAGAAAATAAATCGCAGCAGTAGTTTATTCTTTATTATCATGTTTATTTACAACAAAAAGCCTTATCTTAAAGTTGTATACCAATTTTTATCCTTGCAAGAAATTTAGTCAGAAATAAAGAGTCATTCCATATAAGTTTGGTTGTGTATATTATTTAAATATAATGAATATAAAATGATTATATTTATTCTTACCAGATATAGTTATAGGTTCCTTCTCCAAATTTGGTGGTTCCGCTGGTACGAGATGAGGTCTATCCCGCGAAAACATCCCAATATCTTCAATACAATCCTGAATAGTTTTTTCGAAAGTCGCCGTATTAGTTGAACCTGTATTTTGTAAGCACGAATCATCGCCCAAAGAAGGAAAATCGTTCTCTTGCACAGGCACGGACAATTTTTCTTCTAAAATTTCATCCTCGCCTTGTAATACAGATGAGGCTTCATTTTCGGTTTGAACCTAATATAAAAAAATTGTATAATATATACGTAGTCTTGGCGATCCTAAATCGGTGGTTTGGATTTTAATATGTAAGATAATGATGCGAGATACATTTATTGAAATTCAAACAGGTTTAAAAGGAACAAAAAATGACCTAATAGTTTTCTTCTTTTAGTCTGACCCTGGTCTGACAGTGGTTGTCTGTCACTTTGAATACAAATAAATCTTAAATGAATCTACAAATAAACTGTATTTTCTGTCATTTTGTGCATGTCGTTTATCATAGATAAAAGAAATAAGTTTAGATTGGAAAGTCTGTCAAAATATATAATTGTTTTGGGTCACGACCGTTGTACGCGATCTGGCGCTACTATAGCGATTGCTAAGAACAACCGCCAAACAATAACAAAAATAATTTTCTCTCGTCAAAGTCAGAATCTTCAAAAATTATAAAATCTTTCAAAATTTAAACAGCACTCACTGAAAAAATACCGAAAAGTGTTTAAAGCGTCCGTTTAATTTAAATTTTACTTACTCAAACCCGTGATAATTGTGAAAAAATTAACATTAAAATCTAAAAAATTGTGTTGTGTACTGTGAACTGCAAAAACCATCGTGGATCGTGGCATAACGTCGGTCTTCGTATTTCATAGACCTTATATAAAATAAAGTTTCTTGTATGCAATACACTGTATTTTATTTATAAAATTAAAAAGGTACTCGGTGGCGTAGAGGTACAGGCTCTCGTCTACCAATCTCAAGGTAGTGGGTTCGAATCCTACACCCGGCATTTCATCAGCCGACTATTTTTATTAAAATAAAAATAGTTTGGGTACCTAGGTCCACTCAGCCTTAAATGAGTACTTGGGATTCTCGCAATCCTGAGATAATAATAGGCGGTTGAAGCATAGTGCTAGCCACATTACCTTCCTTGTATACCGAACGGGTCTAGCATGACAAAGCTGTACCTTGCTACTCCCCAGGCGTTAAACGCTATATACGGGAACTATTATTATTATATAAAATTAAAAGAAAATAATAAATTTGAATAAATAATATTTGAAATTATCAAAAGCTTTGGGTCGCGACCGTTGCAAGAACAGCGCCAAATAGTGTTTACATTGTCCTTATGGGCACTTTCCAATCTAAACTTGTTTCATTTATCTATGTCGGAGATTATTGTCGAATTCTTAACTCGTTTGGCAAACTTTATTATCCAGTAGATTGCCAAAAACCTTAAACACCACACATTTTTGGTTGGGTCACTCGTATACAGAGTGACCCAATATTCCGTGGACATAGAACTACAACGTATTTTTGGAATCAAAATATGTTCATTGGACACAATTTACCTCTATAAAAAATTCCTTCGTTTGTCCGTTAGAGGGCATCAAACTTTGAAAAAAACGCATTTTTTAAGATAATTTAAGAACCGTTATTCCCATTTCAATGATAATTGGAATGCCTATGTTTTGCTAAGTGCTTTAACATTTGACTTTCACATAAATCAAGAAAAAGTAATAATGTAATAAAGAATAATGGTAAAAATTATCCCCACTCCTACATAATATTTAGTAGAAATATTTTCCAACTCCACCGACTATGGACTTTTTTTCTCGTAAAATGGTCTTTCTTGTATTTACTACATTTTTTGTCTCTTATAAAAAAATGCCACCAAGCACACTTTCTAAAAAAACAATGTTTTTGCTAATCTGTCTTGCAAAAAATGTTTCTTGTAAAGCTATGTAGACGCATAAAATTTAGTACGCCCTAATAATCTAATTGACAAAAATATGGAATTTTATGTTAGTACCACAAATGATTTTTGACAATAAGATTCATAAATTTTAAATTAATTAACGTTCGGGTTTATTTATGACTGATGCCCTCTAACGGACAAATGAAGCACTTTTGTGGAGATTATGTCCAATGAACTTATTTTGATTCCAAAAATACGTAGTGCTTTAACAGTAGTAGTTCTATATCCTCGGAATATTGGGACACCCTGTACATTCATGTTATTTTGTTTCTAGTCGCAGAAGACGCTTAACGCGCTAAAACGCTTTACTCGCTTTCCGTGAGTCCCTAGACTAATGAATTTAAATCTCATCACAAAGACGTTTAAATTCGAATAGTGTTGCAGCCAGAGTTAGATCATTACGTGGGCGTACAGCGAAAATCCACTAAGTCACATTTTTGGTTGAATTGGATTAAACACACCACTGTGTCCAGTTTTTCAAGGTCTTTAACATATATCCTTATAATATAAGGATGCCGAAATTGGACTTAATGGGTTTTTCATGTTAAAGACCGTGAAAAACTGGACACAGTGGTGTGTTTAATCCAATTCAACCAAAAATGTGACTTAATGGATTTTCGCTGTACGCCCACGATTAACACGTTGACCGCCGAAGACTCGTTGGTTATCTACCTCTGAACCAATACCTGTGGGAAAAGGCATACGACAGGGCGATTTATTAAGCCCACTTCTTTTAAATATAATTATGGATGAGATAATATAACAAGTGCGCCGCTTAAACGGATACAAAATGAGCGATCGCATTATTACAACTCTGTGTTATGCCGACGACGCTGTTCTAGTCGCAGAAAACGAGGACGACATCCAAAGACTGATATATCGCTTCAACCTTGTAGCGAAATCTCTAAATATGATAATTTCTGCATCCAAAACAAAGAGCCTGACAACATCAAAAATATCTATCAGATGCAAGTTTGTCGTGGACAGAATAATACAACAAGAAATGAAATTTAAATATCCTGGTATCCGGTTATGGCGATATCGAAACAGAGGTAAGACAACAAACAACAAAAGCAATGAGAGTGGCCGGTTGTCTGAACGAAACCATATGGAAAAATAATCACATAGGTGTCGAGGTCAAGTCAAGAATATACAAGGCTGTCGTCAGACCCATAATGACCTACACAGCAGAAACCACCTTTTAAGCTTTCTCTATATATTTACCTATCTAAAAACTACTTGTGTATGGATGCTAGTCAAGTTGAGGGCTATTAATACAATAATAAAAAAAAGTCCAAAGATCTGACTGTAGCAGCTTCGGCCTTCATAATAATTTATAAAAATACTCAAACGAAAATAAAAGCAAAGTAGAAAGAAGAAAAAGTGTAGATGGTGGATGACTCGGATTTACTAAACCATATGCAACAAGAAATGAATACATGCCATTTTCGATGTTTTTTTATGGGTTCTATTTTCCTTTCCAAATTCTTTACTATTTGACCCTAAGCATCTTTTTATTTTGGTTTTTGAAAAATGAAATTTATGTTTCGGATTCTACAATATTGGAAAATATTGGCCCATCAAACAATCTTGATTTAACCACTCCATATTAAATTCTAACATCTGATTTATTAAATATTTTTCTTAGGCGTCTGTAATAGACTAGTAAAATATGTACATAGATAGTGTTTTTTTGGGAGAAAATACATATACTAATATGGAATATTAATAATTATTAAAGCCTTGACAGAAACTAAAAATGGAAAAGCTGTCGGTTCTGATGATTTAAATCTTGAAATCCTCAAACTGTTAGACGAAGAAAATATGAATCTTCTACTTAAATTGTTTAATCGCATCTACAACACCGGAGAGATACCTAAACAATGGCTGCAATCTACATTTGTAACGCTCCCTAAAAAGTCAAACTCCAAAAGATGCAATGAGTATTGTCTGATAAGCCTTATGTGTCATACATTAAAAGTGTTTCTGCGTGTCCTGCACTCTAGACTATGGAGAAGGATTGACGAAAATATAAGTGAAACTCAATTCGGCTTTAGAAGTGGGCTGGGAACCAAAGATGCTTTGTTCTCAATACAGGTTTTAGTCCAAAAATGCCTCGATCAGCAGACAAGTGCCTTCGCATGTTTCACAGATTATGAGAAAGCATTTGATAACGTGAAACATGACAAGCTGATACATTTACAGAAGCGGATTGGGTTAGATGGCAGACATCAGAATCATTAGAAACTTATATTGGAATCAGTCAGCTTATATAAAAATCGGAAATATGTCAACAACGGATATAGAAATTCTTAAAGGCGTCAGACAAGGATGTATATTATCGCCACTTCTGTTTAATTTATATTCTGAATCGATATTCCAGGAGGCGTTGGAAGATTTAGAAGTGGGAATAAAGGTGAATGGTAAACCTATTAATAACATCCGATATGCTGACGATACGGTGCTCCTAGCTGGCAATGAGGATTTGCAGTGCCTGGTGAACAGAGTTAGCTGTATTAGTCAGAGTCATGGTCTTAAAATAAATATAAACAAAACAAAATTTATGATTATCAGCAAACAAAATATTAAAAATATCAGGATACAAGTGGAAGATCAAAATATAGAAAGGGTAAGAAGATTTAAGTACTTGGGTTGCTGGCTGAATGATAAATGGGATCCTGATGAAGAAATCAAACATAGAATTAAAATAGCCAGAAACACTTTTTTCAAAATGAAAACTCTACTCTGCAACCGAGACCTGAATCTGGCTACTCGATGGTGAGCTACCAAATGCTATGTACTCTCTACATTGTTATACGGAGTCGAGGGATGGACGTTGAAGACACGGACCATGTCACGCTTGGATTCATTTGAGATGTGGTTATAACGACGAATGGTTGAAAATATCCTGGACCGAACGAATAACAAATCTCGAAGTATTAGAAAGAATGTGTAAGGACCAAGAACTATTGACTAGAATAAAACTACCGAAAGCAGCATATTTTGGTCATATTTTTCGAAATAACAAATATAGTTTCCTACAGCCGATCGTTGAGGGAAATATTGAAGGACGACGAGGCATCGGGCGTAAACGGTTTTCCTGGTTGCGGAATTTCGCCAGTGGTTTAATATAAGAGAGGTCAGTGCAATTATCCGTTTGGCTCAAGACAGGGAGGAATTCCAATTGATGGTCGCCAACCTCCGATGAGGAGCAGGCACATGAAGAAGAATATGCAATATTAAAAAAAAATTGTGATATTTATAATACGTTTTGACTCATTATTGAAATTTTCACATCGTGGGGTCTGGGAAGTGTTACTCTACAAATGCCTTGGCACTCAACGTGTTAATATATCAACAATAATTAATTAGCAATTTTGCCACACCGAAGACATCTTACGTAATAGCGTCAGATTTTACTGTTGTACCAGCTTAATTCCAATTTATATTTCTATCTGGTTACCTTTACATATACTTACCGCACATAGAAACCAGCAACCCTGCATGTGTTTGTGTCTCTATATAGACAGAGAGGATTAACTGCTTATAAGGTAAGTCAAGTATCTTTATCTTTCTCATTGATATACAAACCACAAATTTAGAATCAACAGGTTACTACAGTTAAGTACTAATATGTATTAAGTGTACAGAGTGGTCACATTTTGGTTGCAAAGCAGCGGTGTTTCTTATAAGTCTATTAATAGAAACAGAAAACGATGTATTGTCATTGGACAATGCTTCGTTTTCTGTCTTTGTCTAACTCATCGTGCGGTAGCGAGTCGTAGTTGTATCGTATTAAGGCTGATAAAAGTCTATTCCCCTATTCATAAATATAAGTAAAAATTAGGTTTTGAATAGCAACATGATGAGCATAATAATTCTGCAGTCGGATCTTTTACTATTATTTACCTGTCGCCATACAAAACACGCTTCATCATAACTTTTTTAAATTAAATATGAAATATTAATATAGGTTTAATGAGGTAATAAATGCAATAAGGTAAATTAAATAAAAAACTATGAAAAATACATCATTTTTTACTAGTGTAAAAATTTTCGAATTAATAATAACACACAAATATCACCCATTTTTGACAGCGTGCACAAAACAACACATTTTCAACATAAGTACTTACATTATTCTGAATTTCCAGACCAGCTACTTCATTATTTGGCAATGCAGTACCAACGTCAGAAGGTTCATTTTCCAAAACTGCCTGATCTTCATCTTTCTCCGTAACTTTGTTGAATATTTCCTTCATGCTGTCCAAAATAAAACCCTTCTCGGGCACCTTGGTACTGGGTGTTTCCTCTACAGGTACATTTTCAGGCGGTGGAACTTTTTTAGCGACTTTTGAATTTAAATTCACATCTACCGATTCGTTCGTATTTCTGCATACGTTCGAATTAGTATCTATTAGTTGTTTGTCAGGTTCTTGTTGTTCTAGATTGCCATTGTTGAGTGCGGAATCTGAATCGTTCTTAGATTCTAAGTTAGAAGAATCTTCTGCTAGTAAACTAACATCATCTTTATTACTCTGAAACAAAATTGTCCAATATAAGATTTCAAAAGAATAGACAATTTCATTCTGTCTATTAAGAGAAAATAGGACATGAAAAAGTATTGCTATTACACCGAAGTTTTTTTTATTATATGCGGTTTGTCAGTTTTAACGACAGGGTATATGACAGTAGGAGTTATATCTGTCATTTTAAATCACATTTTTCGTCTCAAATGTTTAAATACTTTTTTTTTACAAAAACGGATAATGTTAGATATAGAGTGTTTAATATCATAATTCATAAAATTTTACGGAAAATTTAAGTATGTAAAAAATGGGGTCAACTTCCGATATTTCCGGAAGTGAAACCATATTGAAAATATTTTTAATCGATAGATCTCGTTGTGAAACAATGATGTGCATACAATTTCTGATCTAGATATTGTAGGTCTTTAATATACGCTCAGCCTAGTTAGCTTGGGACACCCAGTATAATTACTTATCAGTGGAAAGTTATTCCCTTACTTCTCATGTTTTTTTTTGTCGCTTTTAAAGGGAAACGCCCTTTTCTGTGTACATTTTTAACAAATCGCTGTAACTTTTGTGCTATGGAAAATTTTGTATTTTTATGAAAACATTTCCAAAGCATCTTTTTATGTAGAATTTAATGGTTTAAGTATAATTTTTTTAAAATTAATAATGTAAGAATTATCAACAGAAAATTTGATTTTTTATATAGGACACCCTGTATATTTTTAATTCATTGAAAATAATTTTAAATTACTTTTCCAAAAAGATAGCACACTTGATATTTTGCTCGATTCCTTCTCTAGATATAGAGTTTATAAAAATTCGTCCACTTTGAATAAGCAGGTTTTGAACGGCGGCAGATGTAATGCAAAAAAATTCAAACTGTGAGCAGCAATTAAAAGGAAAATAATATTTGCAATGAGAGATGCAGAATTTTATAACAATTTAAACTATATTTGAATCGGTCATTTCAGAAACAACATGAGTCATTTTTTTCTGAAATTGATATTTCCACAATAATCTTCTTTTTATACGCAAACGCACCATTGCGTGCAGAAACAACACCAGTCTTGGCTTAACTTAATGTACTGCAGCCTATGAAAATACCGGATTCCTTCAGAAACCACATGAGTCATGAATATCTTAAAACTGTAATTTTTGACTCATGCTGTTTCTGAAATGACCGATTCATTTAAAAACATCAACACATTTGAACTATATGCTAATAACAATAAAAATAAACAGCAAACCAAGACATAAGATTTTGCTACAGGTGTTCGACATATCGACCGTCTTCTGTTATGGACAGACGGGACCGTTTTTGAACATTTCTCGCGGAATTCATTAACTCAGTGGGGGTATCATTCACCCTTGCATAACCTCTAAGTACTTCTAATGCTTGTCTAGAATTATACGGACAATTCAAAAATAAGAACCCTTACTCTTCGGTACAGATAAAAAATAAAGATAAAAAATTCACAGGCGCTAAATCATGCCACCTCGAAGGCCAACGGCTGAGATCTAAGTTAGCTATTCAATTATTCTCGAAATTGGCTGCAAAGATTTGCAGATAACTTCAGCGTTCTGAGACGGTGTCCCTTCTTGCTGGAAAAAATACGTTTTCGAGTTCCATTAGGGGCAGATCATCAATAAGGGGTCCAAAAGCTACTAGTTAAAAGTGGCGAACTTTTAAAAATTATGTATTTCGAATGTGACTATAACGAGGACTATAACAAAATATCAAGTGTGCTATATTTATGGAAAGATAATTTTAAGTTCTTTTCAGTTAATTAAAAATATACAGGGTGTTCCAAATAAAAAATCAAATTTTCTGTTGATAACTCTTAAATTATTAATTAAAAAAAACATACTTGAACCATTAAATTCTACGTAAAAAGGTGCTTTGAAAATGTTTTCATAAAAATACAAAATTTTCCATAGCAAAAAAGTTACAGCGATTTGTTAAAAATGCACATTTTTGAAAAACACCTTCTATTGTAACTGCGAAACGGTACAGATATCGATGTGCGGTTTTCACCATCATATTTTTGATAAAAATTGAGCCCCAGACATCGATATTAGTTTTCATAGAGAAACGGGAGTTTCTCTTTAAAAGCGTCCAATTTGACCCACCCTGTACTGCTATTACACCGAAGTTTTTTATTACAGGGTGTTTCCTTAATGATATGCTAATATTCTTGGACGATTTACGATTTTAAGAAAAAAACTTTCTATGACTGTATGTCCTAAACAAAAAAAGTTTTTAGTAACCGATTAAAAGAGCGAACGGGAGACGTAATGGAGGCCGGAAAGTTCGCTACCCCGGCTCGCGTTCGGCGGCTTTCAAGATGTAACGAGGACAGTCGCATCATCGCGCTGTTCACATATTTTTATTTTTAGCGTTTAGAGTAGGTTTAAGTGTTATTTGTAAAGCTCGACCAATACACATATGGAATAATTGAAATTGAATTTAATTTTTTGAATAAACTTACTGAGAATTTTAGTTTATTATTGGAGATCTCAGTGACTTTTTTAAATAAAAACGTATTACTATATTTTAAAAGGATGCGACGCCATTATCCTCATCAATGGAAACTTCGCCCCTGGATTAAACCATAGTAATTCAAAAATGCTTCACTCAAATCGAGAGTTGGGAAACGGAAGAAAAATACCTTTCAAAAAATTTGGAAATATACAGGGTGTTCCATTAAAAAGGTACGAAAATACTGATGGGATTTTTCATGACGTCGATTCCATGTCTAACAGAGATTAATATAAAAAATGTATTAGACTCATTTCTTCCTTTTTTTTCTACGCTTGTAATAATAAAGGATATTCAAAGTACGTTTTAAAATAAAATGTTACCCAGTTACACTACAGGTTACTTACACTTCTCGCTACCTCGGTATCTTTTTCACTACCATGCAGCGAAGCCAGGTCGGAAAAACTGCTATCCGAGTCATATCCGGACATCTTGGAAGCTGTCTCGCTCCCGCTGAGCTCCGAATGCATTCGTTTCCGGCGTTTGACATCTTCCAATCCGTCAAAAAACGCCAAATCCTTCAGTTTCCGGTGTTTGCCGTTGCGCAGTATACGCGCGGGAGAGTCAGACCGAGTACTGTATGGACTTGGCCTTTTAAGCCCTAACTTGGCGTTTCGTTTTGACGTTCTAGGACTAATGCACCTGCAACAATATTTTGTGTTATTGTAGATTAGGAGTTCAAATGATGTTGATTGGTTAAGGTTTTGAGAAGGGGCGGATACAGGAATTTATTTTAGAGGGGGAGGGCCCAAATAAAAAAATATGTAGAATAAGCTTATTAGGACGCCATTTTTACCCCAAAAGGCTAATATTTAACCCAATTAACAGATTTTAGGGGGTTCCGCCACTGATTTTGAGTGAGATAATTTCAATAAAGGATTTGTTCATGTAACAACACAAAAAGTTTTATTAGGAGTTAATTTGACATATATAGAGATTTGAATGTTTTAGCGGGGATACACTGCATAGGGTATGCAGATGACATAGTCGTGATTGCACGGGGGAAACATGAAGACACCCTGTGTGTAATTATCCAAAGAGGACTCCGCATCGCTGAGAGATGGTGCAGGACTGTCGGGCTAGATAAAACCGCGGTAGTGCCATTCACCAGAAAGCGAAGTCTGAAAAAATACTGTCATCACAGGAAGTGAAATATCTGGGAATAACCCTGGATAGTAAACTTCTCTGGAACAGACATATTAAGATGTATACCATGATAGTAAAACCCATGATTACCTATGGAGCAGTTTCTTGGTACACCAAACTAGAGCAACGTACAGCAAGGCAAAACCTGTGCAAAATACAGAGACTGGCATGTATCTGCATCACAGGTGCCATGAGAACATGTCCAACAGCAGCAATCGAGGTCATTCTAGAACTAACACCACTGCACATTGTCGTAGGTAGTTATGCCAATGCGACAATGATTAGAATGGGCATTGACGGAAACAGTACTGGGAGAATTTTCAGGTCAATGGCTTGGAACACTCTCAAAAATAAAATTCCACTTCTCCAACTCCCAGTGGATGACCATACCAAGAATTTTGAGAAGCACCTCACTGTAGTATTGAATAACAAAAATTGGTCGAGTAACGAAGGGTTCCGTACCATTCATTTTATCTATACAACATTAGATACTATATTATTATAAACTTTTTTTCCGAATTTAAAAAAAAAATGAAGAAACACAATACTAAAAATTGTATTAATCAATAATAAATATGTAAAAAGTAAAAATAAATATGTAACATAAAAATATGTAAAAATTAAAAAAAGTCGCCTTGACTAGGATTCGAACCTGCCTTACTACGGCTCCAACGTCATCATAGCAGCGTAAAGTCCTAACGCTTTAACCACGCGGCCACCAAGGATTCTATGTAAAATTCTTATTTAAAAGATAATGTTTAGTAAAAGTACTTTTTTATTTATAAACATTTATTTAATTCTGTTTTTAGTATTTGTTCTTATAGCGACAACATAGATACATTATCTGTAAAAATTTCAACTGTCTAGCTGTAATGGTTCATAAGATAGACCTTTGTGACAGACGGACGGACAGCGAAGTCTTAGTAATAGGGTTCCCGTTTTTATCCTTTAGGTACGGAACCCTAAAAAGGATTGAAAGAAAGAAACGTTTGCTCAGCATATAAAAGACCATACCATAACGTGGTATACTGATGCTTCCAAAACCAAAGCAGGGACAGGGATAAGAGTATTTAGGCCGAAAACTAAATACTCCGAACCAATGGAGTCTACCCCAGCGTCCTTCAGGCAGAAATTTACGCTATCGAAGGATGCGTACAATTTATCTTAGATAGGAACTATCGAAAACCGGAAATAGCCATCTTATCCGATAGTCAAGCAGCACTAAACGCGATCAACTCAGTAACCATCAATTCGAAGTTGATCAAAGAATGCTTACAGAAGCTCAACAAATTAGGCAAACAAAATAAAGTCCTCCTGCTCTGGGTGCCTGCTCACCAAGGGATCGAAGGCAATGAAAAAACAAATGATCTAGCTAGAAAAGGAGCGAACACTTCACTAACTGGACCAGAACCGTTCTGATTCCTAAGTGAAAACCAACTTAAATTGGAACTCAAGAACTTGGAAGACTCCATTTGTAATCTGGAATGAGAATCCACTGACGGTCGAAGACACTCGAAAAAGTTCCTCAGAACTTACGACCGAGAAAAATCAAAGGTTTTCCTTGATGTATTATAAATTTGAACCTTAATGTAGTCCTACCAAATAAATAGAACAGCTGATAAAGATGTGATAAAGATTTGGCAAAATGCAAACATCAGATTTTCTTAACGGAATAAAAACTTTTGAACGCGGATTGCTTCATACTGAATAAAATTTAGTTACTTTAGTTTAGTAAATTAAAATTAAAGGTTAGAATACTATAGATCCGGTAGAACTGGAACCTGGATGTATGTTCATGAAGATTTATATAACTCCGGATCCGGCTCTTTCAAAATACCGGATCTACCCATCCCACATATCAACTACATGTATACCACTTACCTTGGTAAATGATTAAAAACTGACAACTGCGGCAACAGCGCCTCCGTGTTAGGATCTATAGGAGAAACAGAAAACTTCTCTATGCTATGTCTTCTTTTCACAACCGAAGGGTTTGGTTTTATTCTCCTCACGTTTAGATCAAGCCGATCGATTATTTTCGTATCTGCCGGATCTAGTTTGCTGAGAGTATTCTCAATATTCTCTTTTTTGACTAGGTCTCTCTTTAACAATTCGAAACGCTGCTTCTTGCTCAGTTTTTTCGGCTTGGTCGCATCAGTCTTGTTCGGTTCTAATGGAGGCACGATTTCTTCTTTTTTAATTTCGTCCACTTTTATAAGGTACGAGAGGTCGTTCATTACTTCTTCTATGGATGCTTCGGTTTTTACTTTACTGTAAACAAGAAAAAATAAACTGAGTTAAGTTGATTATAAAATTATGCATATGAAGAAATGCGTCTCATATCGTGACGAATTATGTAAAACTAACTATAGTTCATATCAAATAAACTTTTAGTCACGTGATTAAGTCTGACCGGCACAGCGTTGCTCACTTTTACATATTTTCTTTTAATCAAAATATTTTAGAAAACAAAAATAAATTAATTATAAATATATAAACAGTTATTATTTACAAATCAACAAAACTCACCTTCTTAACAGCACTTATAGGATATAAATGGCCATTACTACCGCTCTCCCGTTCAATATATTCTAATAAAGTTGCGATGACTCTTTTTACGGCTATTAAGCTATCTTGTACACTTCGCACTAAAAGAGGTTCTAAAAAGAACAATGTTCGACTGCAAGGTCTGCTAGTAAACATTTTTAAGCTTAAAGTATCACAACACTATTTATTTAAACCAAAAACTTGTAACAAACTTAAAGTGTTAAAACGAATGACAATGTCAGGAAATAAATAAATAATTGTGGCAACTTGAGATTTTTTCACAGCAGAGCTACAACCTGAATCCAGGCAAAATCATGGTGAACACGAGTCCACATCTGCTAGACCAGAAAACGGACTATATGCTCAACAAACATGATTTTGGAGAACAGATAAGGATTCGCATCCCGACAAAAGAAGTATGGGAAAGCAACCGAGTACACCGTGAATACTCAAGAAGTATGAAAAATCAACCGTTGTGAACACTCAAGAGATCGCAGTCTACATAGATGATTCCGCAAATTCAGGGGGCACAGGTATAGGCATCTTCTCAGAGGAACTAGACATCAGACGATCTTTAAGGCTATCGGATGGCTGTAATGTTCTATAAGCAGAGGTTTACGCCATAAACGAAGCGGCTAGTTTTATACGAGAGAAAATTGCTGATAGACCAATAGGGGATATAGTGATATACTCTGACAGCTCGGCCGCTTTAAGAAGCGTCACCATGCAATCAGTGAGATCGAAAACTGTGATGGAATGCCGAGAAGCACTGTCTTGGCTGCGTCAGGGCGGGGCTACTCTGTACTGGGTGTCTGTTAGGTTAGTTGGGCAATCAGAAAGCAGACATACTCGCCAAAGACGGGGCCAGGAGAGAGGCCGTAGCAGATGGCCCACCACTTGTGACGATCAACACACTGAAGGAGGCTACAGGAACTGGCATCAAAGCCAAGCAGTAAGAGACGTGGCAACACCGTGAGGACAGCGCTACAGCTCGAAGACTATGACCAGTAATAGATAGCAAAAAATTCACAGATTTTGCAACATGCGCGACCATCATAGGCGTATTGAAAATACCAGATACAAGTCTGTTTAATAATACACTGTTTTTTTACATTTTATATTAATTTGTGACGTCATTTGAAAGAGCTCAATAGAAATATAAAGAACTAAACCTTGTTTGGAAAGCAATTTGACATTCGTGACGTCATCACTCCGGTAGACTATGGTGCGTCCAGACCTGACGAGCCGAGCGCGAGACGAGAGCAAGACAAGAGCGAGACGAGAGCGAGACATTTTCTATCCATTTTTTACGCCAACCTGCCACGAGACAAGCCGAGTGGGATCATAGTGAAAGAAAGCCAAACACATATTAAATTACAATTGAATATAACAAACGATGACCAAATAATAACGCATACATTAATACATTTTTGTATCTTTAATATGATATTCGGTCTTTAACATGGTATTCATCCCCCTTTTGGCTGTTTTCCCCTTTATCCCTTACACGACGTTTTTTACATAATACGTTTTTTAACGTTTTTAGAACAAAATGTTAAATAAAAAAGTTATTGGTAAGGTTAAGAAGCACATTTTAACATTACTATAGAGTATACAGGGTAATTCAAAAAAGTGTTGCGGATATAGCATATTTTCTAATGGGAATACCCTATTTTTTATTTTATTATTGGGTTATACATATACGTACAATTCGATAACTTTTCTTGCCATTTTTTGATATTATATATCTAAAATTAATAGATGTTGTAATAATTCAATTTGTGTAAAGAAATGTTGGATTTCGGTAGGGTAAAAATTATCAGTGACATAAAATTTGTAAATTCTATCAGAAAAAATGATAATACATACGGTGTACGATTTAAAAATTTGAGATTACTTAATTTTAAATGGTCGAAATTTATAAATCAGAGCTAATATCTCGCAGTCGGGTGGGCCTACCAAAAACACGTCCAGACTTTCGAGCTTTCTTTGAGCTCTCTCGGCCGTTGGAAAACCGACAGGGGACGGATAGCAACGAGGCTCCGTGGGTTGACTCGCGACGCTCTCGCGAGACTCGTCCACACAGCAAATTTGGAATGTCTCGCGCTCGTCTCCCCAGGTTTGGACGCACCATCGTATCGCTGATCGCCATTCGCAAATATATTCTAGATAGGTATAGTGAACAAGTGAACCGTTCGCAACGTTAAATAATTTTGATATTTAATTTTTATCGTGATGGCTTTTTATGAGAGTGTATACATAGAATTAATTGCATTTATTTGCAATAGCACTTCGAACCCACAGTTTTGTTATGGAGCCAGATTAAACCAATCAGAATGAGTATTATGTTAACGTAAAAGCCCGAATATTGGTTAAACGTAGAGTTGCCCACGTAGGAGCCCGAAATATACCAAAAAGTGGGTCAGTTTCGGTTAAGTTTAGATTAGGTCTATATTTTTATTAATTCAAAAACCAACTAAAACCTAATTCTAATCTAACCTAAACTCACCCCTTCTTTTGCATATTTTCGGCTATTACCTGGGTATTCCTAGGTTTAACTAATATTCGAACTTACGGTGTAAATTTATGGAGGAAATTTATTTTTACCTCACAGTATAGGCATATTTTGAACCCCTACCGTGCATAGTTACTGTAAATAAAAATAAATTAAAATATAGTTGGCTCCAACGATAATGTAGTTTGCAGCTTCTTTTCATCATACTTAATAAAAACAACCACTACTTATAGTATGTACCTACATATGTATTTTTAAACATCATTAAGAGATTTTAGTATAAAAATGTGCCCATAATGTGAGTAGCGGTATTGACGGTTTTTTGCTATGAGGAAAATAAACATCAAAATATATTATCGACTGCAGCAACTATGTATTCCTAGTTTACATTCAGTATGTCCAATTAATATGGAATATTATACCTATACATGCTTTTAAACATTTTCTACCATTATATTTTGATAGTTGAGTTTTTGAAATTATTTGTTAGCTTCTTAAACAAAACAGACCCATAATAATTCAAATCTTTATCATCCAAGACTTTCAAGAATTATGAAGTAATCTCACGTCAATTTTTTTTTTAAATTATTGCATGCCTTAAGTATTTGCAAAGTTAACAAAAATATTTCTTTGCATACCTTGCAATTAATATATTTGGTCTAATTTATCAGTTCTGCATCATATCCGAAATTCAGATTGTGTGTGACACAACGAAGAGTGAACGTGCAACGTGAAAGACAAGAAAAATGGCAAGTAAAAAAAAGTAAAATTTTAATTACTAATTACACAGTCCTTCCCTTGAGTTCTTCTGCCTAAAATCTATATTGCCTTCCTTAAGATTTTAAATATAAATGATTGAAATTCATAACAAGTTTACCACAATTTAAACTTGAGATAATTATTTAATTATTAAATCCATAATTATATTAAAATATAACACTTACGAAGTTAATAAATATTAACTATTTCTCGTTAATAATTTAATAATTATTCTGATAAAAACACGCTGGATTTTTTATTTTAGAAATCATACAGGCTATAATCATTAATATGACTATATGTATTAACAATACTTAAATTAAAATTTATTTGAAGGAATGCTACTTGAAGTATTAACTCGGAATAATTATTAAAAACTGCTCATCGCGTTATCGATGTCGGCGTCTTGTGACTGTTGTCTGGCTGATTGGCCGTTTAGGTACCTATAGTTTGATTTCAGATAATGCAGATTTTAATGTGCCATTTGTGGTTTTTTATTGGAATTTTTTTACATATTTCGTATACTCTATGAAGTGCTCATGTCCATTTTTCAATTATTAAAGTGCCTATTTAGATATATTTAAAATTAATTAATTAGTGTATAGTATTACAGTTGAGGGTTGGAACCTTTGGTGTTACACAGCGAAATAAAACACTAAATCACCACAATACACCAAAACACTTTTACTTTTATACTGGACGCGCGTTTCGCTAACCATGAGTTTATAATCATCTGCTGATGATGCTAACATGGTTAAGGAAACGCGCGTCCAGTGTAAAAGTGAAAGTGTTTTGGTGTATTGTGGTGATTTAGTGTTTTATTTTGTAGTGTATAGTAACTGAATTATGGGTTTGTTTATTTTTTATGAAATGTATTTTTTTTTCTATTAAAATAAACATAGCTTTACTTACAAAATCGCTAGCTAGCCATTTTTAAATACAGGCTGTTAATTAAGTATCTGGCCAACTTCAGAAGGTGATTCTTTGTGTTTTTAAGGTAAAAAGTTAATATAAACATGTGTCCGGAAATGCATAATTTTAAAGATACAGGGTGTCAAGTCCTAATAGACATTTTTTATTAATATTTCAAAGATCCGTTGGCCGATTTTGTTGAAATTTCGCCGTGTTGTGAATTTTGATAAGTTAGCACTAATTAAATGATAATAATTATTATTTACAACAATATTCAAACGGTAAAAACTTATCAACTTATCCCAATAAATATTTGACAAGGCCTTGGATTAATTTGTTTTAACGCCTCTTGGTGGTGGAAACCATGCAAGCTTTTTCTTTGTCCTAAGTTGATATGTAATTAAAAAAATAATAATCATATAAAAAATATGGTAATTAGGTCTAAATTTATTATTTATGTGATTCTGCTCTTTCTCGTATAATTTGCCCTTTGTTTCTCATATGGAAATAGTTAGATTAAAATAGCCAAACTGTACCTAACAACCCATGCCTTGACATATTTTCTTTTAAAATAATATCGCTTTCTTTATCCGCCGGTCCAGACTCGACCTTGCCCTATTCGCTCATCAATGCCGGCTCTATCAACTTAAGTACGTGTTGACAGGCAGGTTATTGAACCCATGTTGCTTCTAGCATGTCGTTTTTTCAAAGATGGGTCCCATATAGACGCCGCTAGAAGTATTTTCAATACTAAAAACAAAACTACTAGAGCACAAAAAGGACCTCGTACGCATAATTTTAGGTATCGTCTCTGGATACTGTCCCACGGGGGATAATTTTAGGTATCGTCTCTGGATACTGTCCCACGGGGGTAAACCTCGTGAGATGGAAAGTTTCCGACGACAACTACTGCAGAGAATGCGGAGAGGAAGAAGAAACCGTAGAGCACCTGCTGTGCCACTGTCCGGCACTGGAATACCGACGCTTTCAAACTTTAGGGCAAGGTTTTTTGGAGGGACTAGAGGAAGCAGCAGAACGTGCTATAAGAAAGAAGCAGAAGAAGTGCTTTAACGCAAAGAAAGAATGAGAGGAAGGTTTGGTACAACAATACAGGGGTATCGCAATGGGCCCAAGGCCTGCGAGTGAGGGATCAAACATGATCCCAAACCCCAGCAACCTAACCTAACCTAACCTACAACCTGAATCACCACCGCGAAGTTTAAATTCCAGGTAGTCAGCCCGGCGCCGAATATGTCCATGGTTGGTATCAATAAATTTAAAAATCATGCTCTCGACTACTTTAACTAAAAGTTTAATTGATATAAAATATAGACAAATATTACCGTACAAATCGAAGGTACCCAAGATGTAAAAAACCAGATGTAAACAGAAATATAACAAAAAAAGGTTATTAACAAAGATTGTAGGTATATAATTATATAATTAGTTTTTCATTAAATTATGAAAACTTTCTTGCTATAGTCTTTTATTTAAAGATTTATATATTTTTATCTATAAGCAATACCGAAAAACTTTTAGTTAACGTTATCGAGGGCGCGATTATTCATTGCTGCCAACCATGGACATATTCGGCGCCGGGCTGACTAACTGGAATTTAAATTCCCGCCGGCGATTCAGGTGGTAACTCTGCTGTCAGAAATGTCAAGTAGCCATATTTATTTAATTATTTCCTGACATTTTCATTCGTTTTGACAATTTAGTTTTGTATTACGAGTTTTTGGTTTAAGTTAAGTGTTGTGATACTTTAAGCTTAAATTTTTTTACTAGCAGATTTTGCAGTCGGAAATTGTTCTTTTTAGAATCGCTTGTAGTGCGAGGTGTACAATATGCAGAAGCAGCTTAACAGCCGTTGCAAAGAACTCATCGCAACTTTATTAGAATATTTAAATATTAAAGCTTAAGTTTTTTTGTGTTTACAAAAAATAACTATTATATTTTATTTATTTATTTATTGCCTAGATTTCTTTCTAGTGGCGAAAAACCAGAAATCTTTTTTGAAGAAAACTATTTTTTTTATCGTAAAAAGTTATTACGATTCACTAGTGACAGTGTTGATTTCATAGGTGATTATTTTCTAAATAATGACGTCATAGAAAATCGAGGTGGGGCACTAACAAATAGGATGAAAATGAAAATTTTCTTACGCTATCTCAGTGATCCGGGATTTCAGAGTGGTGTTGCTTATGATTTAGAAGTTGATCGAACGACAATTTGTAAAACAATAAGTAATGTTATGGACTCTATCATCAATAGATCCCCCGACTGGATTAAATTCCCATCAAACGCTGAAGAAATAAATACTGCGAAAACTAAATGGAACTCGAAATTCCAAATACCCACAGTGGTGGGTGCAATTGATTGTACCCATATTGAAATAAAAAAGCCAGTACAGTTTGGAGACGATTTTGTTAATAGGAAGAGCAGAACGTCAATAAACGTGCAAATGACATGTGATGCTGATGAAAAGATAACAAGCGTTGATGCACAGTGGCCAGGAAGTGTACATGACAGTAGAATATAGCGCCAAAGTTCAGTGAACAATGTATTACGTCAATTCAGAGGGACTGCTGCTTTACTTGACGATAGCAGCTACGGAATCTCACCCTGGGGTGGAACTCTGTAACGAAATAGCGATCGATAGCGATGATTGCCGTTTAGTTTGTACGGCCAAGGTCAGTATTCTTCATCGCTACCGATCGCTATTTCGTTACAGAGTTCCAGCCCTGGCTGCTAACACCCTTTAGGCAATACGAGAGAGGAGGAACTGTTTGTATCCATTCAAGAGAAAGGGTTATAATTGAACAGGTTTTTGGTCAACTGAAACAACGTTTTCCTATTCTGGCGAATAAGATAAGATTGAACATTACAAAAGTACCCAAAATAATAGCTTGTTGTGCTGTGTTGCATAACATTTCTAAACATCTACACGACACGTGGGATTATGAAGAAGTAGATTTGGGCCAATAAAAAAAATATCTGACAAAAGAATTTGAAGGGTTCCAAACTAACTCTGCAACCGCGAGAATGACTTGATAAATCGTTTGACCGTAAACATAAACATCCGACGTGAATAACGATCTAACGAGTAAATACTTGCGAGTAAAGTCGCGGCAACAAAAGTAAACTATCACAAGTAAAAGCACTCTCTTATGCACATGTTGGGCAAGCAGATACTTTACTCGAGAGTAAAGTCTTATAAGTATTTCCTTGTCTTTATTCACCTAACCCACACACACACACACACACACACACACAATGTATTGGTTAATCTATCTTTTATGTCTAGACTTGTCACGCAACGCTATTATCAAAAGAAATATTAATATTTAAATGAAAAACCAAACTCACCGCTGTCTTCCAGGTTTCCTGCCTACAGTTTTTGGACTAGCTTCACTAGGCATAGGCACGTCCATCTCTTCCTCTGGAACCTCCGGGACATCCTCCGGTTCTGTTTTGATGCCTTTAATGGGTATCAAAGCAGGAACCTTGGGTTTCTTACCCCGCTTACGGGGTGTTTTCTTAACTTCCACGTTTTCCTCTTGAGGAAAGATCGGCTCCAGAACCGGCGCCGCTTCTTCCAGTTTCTTTAGCGCTTTCGGTTTGCGACCACGTTTTACTTCTTTCAAGCCGTTTTTAAGTAACACTTTCTTTGCATCCGTAGCTGAAATAAAAACGGAAATTAAGACATGACAATACGTCTAATTGACAATAAAAAAAAGATTATTATAACATCAGTTTAAAGGTTGATTCTCACTATACTTTCCATATCAGCTCCCTTCCGTTTCCCTTCCGTTTACATAAAATATTATATCATGTAAATGAATAGGACAATGCACACTATCCGTTCCGTTTCCCTTCCGTACCATATTCTTTTCTTCCATACATTTTTTTGGTTTGGTTTGACTGAAGCGTATCGGAAACAGCGTTGTCATGTTCTTACATTTGTACGAGCTTTGTTAAAATTTTATTATCTTTTTCGATAAAAGATACAAATTTTTAAAATAAAACTTTCGTAATGATATAAATCGTACAATAAAAAATACGGAACGGATATGGAATGGATATTGAATGGAAATGGAACGTATAGTGAGAATCAACCTTTACTTGGACAAAAACTTTTTGGCTAACAAGACCAAGAAAGTCATGTGTTTGTAAACAACTAAAGAATACCGTATGATGAAAAAAAAGGGCGTCCAGTTGGCTGGGAAATGGCGACCGATGACATTTTCCATATAATTTTACATATAAAATGACGGCGATCTTTATTTCATAGCCATCGCTGACGCCGTTTTTTTTTCGATCATAGGGTATGTCAAACATAGAAATTGCCTAAAGATGTTTTCGTTATATAATGAGGACAAGTAATAATATCACATAAATACCGGGTGCTTCTCAAAAGTAGCTTACCCATATAACTTTTTTATTTTTTCAGATAAAACAACGAGATTTGGTATGTTAGTATATGACATAAATTAGGATTGATTGACGTATTCACGAGCGTATTCAATTGTTTTCCATCACTTCCTGTTTCACCAGAAATTACTACAATTTTTGATTTTTAAATGACATTCTCGGTATTATTTTACTTTATTCGATACAAAATGACACTCTACATTGAATGACATATTATGTCAACTTTTGATATATTCGCTCAAAAATAAATTGTATTTTAAATTTCAATCTAGAGACGGCTTAGAAAAATAGATTTGATCGTCTAATGTCTTTAGTGTCTTGTCCTGGCCGGTTAAAAGATGTCCAAATCGTATTTTTAATCATATCTCAATTTTTTCAAATGGAACGAGGGTGGTTCCTTAGCACATTTGAAAAAAACATTTTTTTACGAATAATTTGATACCACACACTTAGTACTACGAGTCAAATTGTCGTTATGAACCGTATGTTACAATTTCAAATAAACCATATGCAAAAATGTCAAAAGTTGACATATGATATGTCATTCTATTCAGAGTGCCATTTTATATCGAATAAAGTAAGAAAATACCAAGGGTTCCAGTTAAAAATCAAAAGTGGTAGTCATTTCCGGCGAAACAGAAAGTGATCGAAAACAATTGAATAGGTCAATCAATCCTAATTGATGTCATATACTAACATACCAAATCTCGTTTTTTTATCTGAAAAAATAAAAAAGGTATGAGAGGTGTGCCACTTTTGAGACTCACCCGGTATACTCCATATATGAATAACTTAAAACTAAGTCAAATGTAATACAAAATAGTCCAAGGAAATAAGCCTTTTTTTAATTTAATTTATTTTTTCGAAATCTCGGAGAAGCAGTAAGTACTAGAAAAAAAAGTTCATATAAAAGTTTTAGAACGTTCAATTTTACATAAAAATCTCTATACTTTTTTTTGCGAAAATCAAAATTAACCGAGATAGGGTGGGTAGAAACTAGGGAACAGCTTTTATTGAAAAATGTGTCTCAAGTAATTTCGTTTCTCTGGAATTTGTAAAAAAAAAAACACTTTAAAATTTATATTTTTCACCCCTTCTCGGTGAATAAAAATGTTAAATATATGAATTTTTCTGCAACATATTTTTTATATTTCTACCATCATCCCCTAGCTTCTAGCTACCCTATCTCGGTTAATTTTGATCTGAGCAAAAAAAGTAAAGATATATGTAAAATTTGACGCTCCACTTTTATTTGAACTTTTTTTCTAGTTCTTTCCGTTACCTCAAAATTCCGAAAAAAATATTTTATTTATTTATTTCACCCTTTCTCGGGACTGAATTGAAAAAAAATCTTTCACAATTCGTTCTTAGATCTTTCAAAGTGGCTTATATCAAAAATTCAAGTTTTCACCGAAACCTCGTATTTAAAGGCCTATTTTCTTGGAATAAAAGCTCAACTACGACATTCCATATACACTGTGTGATAGAAATTGCAACACCCAGTAAGATGTGGGAAGTATTTTGGGAAGAAGTTATTATTATAGGAAATTTTATATGGAAATTGCGCGATAACGCAGTAGTCGAAATTTATTTTAATATACAGGGTGCTACAAATTCGAAGTACGAGCATTGGTATCTCGGAAACCGTAATAGATAGGAAGATGGTTAAATTGGGGCAAAGTTGCGCCTTGGGCTGTTCACCAAGATGCCATCAAAAAAGTTTTAAAAATTTCAAGGATTGCTTAGTTTTTTTGAAAAAAACGCATTTTTTTGAAAACTAATTTTATTTTTTCCTGTCGTTACTTTTTAGTAAATCAAAAAACTAATTGGACATTCTCATAGCCATTTTATTAGGGCTATCTGATAGTATTTTTATATTTTCAAATTGGCTGATAATTTGTAAGATACAGAGGCTAACTTAATTTTTTTAAATACGGACCTGCATTTTTTATTTCAGATTTTGAAAGAACTCAGTCTCCTGAGTACAATGATATGCCACACTTTATACTGTTTTTTTGTTTTGGGCATCTTAACAGCAACAAAACTATTTAATAATTATTTAAAAAAAACTCAAGTCCAACTCTGTTTTGTAAATTATTTAATCTGATTATACTCATTGCAACAATATTGATCAGTGCTAATTAACATTGAATAAGAAAAATTAAGCCAATTGAAAGATTCAAATAAATAATATCCAGATCAGCAATTTAAAGATATTATTTTTAACTTATCTTATTGTGAATTTGAAATTCTCAGTGTACAATCTAATCAGTTGCATAATATTAATCGTAGTTATTATGAATAAATTAACTTCTACAAACTAGTTTCTAATGCTCTACATAGTCTACATGTTCGAAAGGGTTACCACCCTCCATATTGAACAAATTTATTTTTCGTTCAATTTTATTTTTGGCTTTGAATAGATCTTCTTATACTTTCGAATGCATTTTGTACCCTTTATTGTAACTGCCGAGATGTGTTGATTAATGTTTGTAAAATTATTTTTTGTAAAATTTGGACCTGTCGAATTACTTGACGTCATCAGACGGTCCAGGAACCTCGCTGGCCATTATACCTACTCTACCGTTTCCAATCTATCTTCCGTGGAAATGATTTGATTGTTTATATTACATTTTATTTATATTATTTATTATTTTATTGCATTTGATTTTCCGTACTCAACCAACGCCTCTGTTAAGTTTTAAAGCTTATCAATATTGTAACCATGAATATATTAAATATTAAAAAAACAGAGCCGGACTTGAAATTAGTTTAAATAAATTGTGTCCAAATTTCCAAAACAAAAAAAATATTAAGTGTGGCATATCATTGTACTCAGGAGAGCGAGTTCTTTCAAAATCTGAAATGAAAAATGTAGGTCCGTATTTAAAAAAATTAAGTTGGCCTCTGTATCTCACAAATTATCAGCTGATTTGAAAATCTAAAAATACTATCAGATAGCCCTAATAAAGTGGCTATGAGAATATGCAATTAGTTTTTTGATTTTCTAAAAAGTAACGACAGGAAAAAATCAATTTTATTTTTTCCTGTCGTTACTTTTTAGAAAATTTATATATAGCCATTTTAATAAAATGGCTATGAGAATGTCCAATTAGTTTTTTGATTTACTAAAAAGTAACGACAGGAAAAAATAAAATTAGTTTTCAAAAATATCCGTTTTTTCCAAAAATCTCAGCAATCTTTGAAATTTTTAAAACTTTTTTGATGGCATCTTGGTGAACATCCCAAAGCGCAACTTTGCCCCAATTTAATCATGTTCGTATCTATTACGGTTACCGAGTTACCAATGCTCGTACCTCGAATTTGTAGCACCCTGTATAGTAATCTCTAAAATAAAAATAAGATAAAAAAATGCTTAATTCGAATATTTGTTGGATTAGTAATAAGTTACAATGTAATGATATAAAAAAAGTTTTGATGATATTGTCTGGAGCAGGCAACGCCTTTTTGCTTAAATCATATGCACGCCTCTACTGTTTCGTCAGCATTACACCTTCACCTTTTGGAGGATCATTCCTTAAAATCAACGGTAACTTTGCTTTCCAGTCCTCTACATCGTTCACATTTATTTCTGTAGACTCACCGCAAACTGCTTTTTTAAAAGTTACGCCGTGGCGCCGGCAAAAACAATTCAACCATCCATTTGACGCTGTAAAGTTAACCATATTCACACTTCTCGCTGCCTCCAGTGCTTTTTGTTTCAGGAGAGGTCCAGATATTGGAATTGCATCATTTCTGGCTTTGCAAAACCAACCGTAGACGATTTGATCCACTGCCAACCCTCCCGTCTTAGGAAAGCTACGTTTTTGATCCAAGTTAACACCTTCCTCAACCAATCTTCTTATTTCACTTTTATTTTTTAGAATATCAATAACTTGTGATTTTCCAACTTCGAATTTCTTGGCCAGTTTTCGCGAACTTAACGCAAACTTTTCACTTTCCGCGATTATGTTTATTTTCTCATTTAGTGTCAAACGTTTCCTTTTTAACGACATCATTAACAGAGAGACAACTTTACACTGCACAATCTACACCACGTATAAGACTAACAAAGTATAGGGATTCCCTATGAATAAAGAAATGAAAAAATAGTCTGGCCTATAATGGCAGGTAAATTTATATGACGCTAGGCCATAAAAATGTGCCTTTATTTGGCACTGACCGTTTAATAAGGGTGCCCGTAAATGACAGGTATCCTATATTGGAATTTCTTGATTGGTGGATAAAGAATGTTTTACTCTATAGTGCTATACATGTTTTTACGCATTAGAGACGGTTATAAATGGTCATAAATAGAGGTCAACCGGATATATGTCCAGTAAGGCTATTCAAAAAAATTATAGAAAAAAATTTAATGTTCCAAAATTGTTTTTAACTGTAAACCCTTCCTGGAAAATGGGTAAATGGTTCAAGAACCTTCCTGTTGGGAAAAATACGATTGCTCAATGGGTGTCCATCGAAGCGAAAAAATCAGGTTTGGCTAGGGAGAAAGTAAAAATTACTAATCATTCGCTAAGTGCAACAGCTGTGTCGACACTAGCAAAGAAGGGGGTTGAGGAGAACACAATGGTCAAAATAACTGGGCACGCAAGCCCGAAGTCAATTAAACTTTACCTTCAACTCGATGATGAACATCATGCAAATTTGGTAGAAAAAATGAGAGACAATGAAACTGCTACAAGTTCTAATAATAATACTAATGCTTTTGTACCTACTATAGGTTTTTTTAATTTCAATTCAAATTCAGCATCTTCAAGTACCGCAACGGAATCTAAACATAATAATTTTTATAACTGTGTCTTTCACTGCAATTCTTCATGTAATTTCTAATTTCTAATATTATAAGTTCTGTTTCATTTTATTGCTTGATTTTTAAAGAGATTTTTTTTAATATGTTCAAATGTATTTTCACTTGTATTTTCATGTTTCTTATTCGGGAAATATTCTACCGAATTACACTCATGCATCAAAATTAACCTGATAATTTTTAATTTAAGCATGTTGTCAATAAAAAACAGCATTCGTTTATATTCATATTTTGGACAGTTATGGCAAAATATGAATATTAACTCATGCAGTTTTTAGACAACATGCTTTCATGAAAAATTATTACTTTCAAAGTTATTTCTACGCATTAGCGTTACTAGCAATTTATCCTGGGGGGGCCTGGGGTGCTGGGCCCGGGATTGAGCTCAGGGGGGAGTCTAGGGCTTTTGTTTTTTTAAACGGTTTTATTTAGCTCGGACCCGTACGGTATTTATTTATTTATTTGTTTATTTGGGTCAAAATTAGAAATTGAAATTTAAGTACCTTCCTGTTGTCAGATTGATCTGAAATTTGGTACACACCTTTAGTTCCGATGACAATACAATATAGTAATATCAATAACATTGTAAATCTAAAGGTGCGTATTCATTATCCGAACGAACGAACGAACGAACGAATGAAAGTGCGGTATATTTGGACGGGGACCGAACGCATGCGGCCGTTCGTTCGTTCGTTCGCTCGACCATCCGTTTCGAGTCGGTACATCAAAGGCGTTCGCCAACAAATGCCTCCGGTCTTCTCGTGCGGTCCTATCGTGCGGTCCCCGTCCATACCACTAGCGAACATTCGTTCGTTCGTTCGTGCGCATAATGAATACGCACCTTAAGATGGCCGCCGGTACAAAATGGCGGATTTCATATTTTTCCACAACCCCCTCAATATGGGTATCAAATGAAAGGGCTACACTAGTAGAATACTGTGATTATGACAAAATTTAAAATCCAAGTTGGACGTCGTTACAAAATGGCGTATTAAGTGAGGGCATGAGTAGTCGTGCCCAGAACAGTTCTGTCCAAGATTGTGTGACGTTAGAAGGACAGATAAAAAAAATAGGTGATTAGATGTACCTACGTAGTTAGCGGTAGCTTTACCACCCAAGTTAAGGAAATAGGTTAAAACGTGCTGAGGACTGTATGGCATTAGGGTGGCTAAAAATGTAATGTCGCCAGCGTTTTCCCCTCAAGATTGGGCGCCTCTTGTTGTATATTATAGCTTTGCCCCTCTACTGGACCTCTGGGGTCGACCGTTAAAATGTCCATTACTCGTGGGAACAACATGGAAACAATAAATAAAAACACAAACAAAAATAAAAACGAAACTGCTACACAACGAAAAAGAAGGCTCGAAAAGGCGAAAGAAAAGTATAGAACGAAACGTGCAAAAGAAAGTGAAAATGAAACTTATAGTCGACTACAGAAACGAAGAGAACGGTTAGCAACAGAAACACCTGAGCAACATGATGCTAGGTTAATAGCACAACGTGAGAGACAAAGGCAGCTGGTAGAGTCAGAAACACCTGAGCGTCATGAGTCCAGGCTAGCATCACAACGTGACAGACAGAGAGAGTTGTTAGCGGCAGAAACACCTGAGCGTCATGAGTCTAGGCTGGCATCACAACGAGAGAGTCTGAGAGAGACAAAGAGAGTTGTTAGCGTCAGAAACACCTGAGCGTCATGAGTCTAGGCTAGCATCAGAACGCGATAGACAGAGAGAGTTGTTAGCGTCAGAAACACCTGAGCGTCAGATTGTAATAAATTATCAGGTAAAAAACCATGTAATAATGATGCACTAAATGAATTAAATAGATTGAGGAATATTCGGTAGGCATTTCCCTTAAATACTAAAAACTAGAAAATAAAAAATCGGTAAAAAAACTTTTAAGTTAAACGGTTTTATCTTATGTGCACTGAAAACTAGAAAATAATAATAACAATTAGGTATTTTGAACTTCTAGTTCAGAAATATTTTAGTACTAGGCAGAATAGCTTTTAGGCATATTAGACTAAAATAAAAACGTGGGGCCCATTAACTATTGCTGTAATACTTTCTTCTATACTAAGTGTGGATTGCATCGACTTACTATAATCGTAACTGGAGATTTTGACAGTCAATAACCAGCCGTGGCGGCTTCACCAGCGAACGCCGAGCTCATGATCTACCAAAGTATAAAGATATGCTTTGCCATAGGTAGGATTTCAGAGGGGCCCCACGTTTTTATTTTAGTCTAATATGCCTAAAAGCTATTCTGCCTAGTACTAAAATATTTCTGAACTAGAAGTTCAAAATACCTAATTGTTATTATTATTTTCTAGTTTTCAGTGCACATAAGATAAAACCGTTTAACTTAAAAGTTTTTTTACCGATTTTTTATTTTAAATGAAAAATCATTTTAAAAAGCACATTTTTTGAATAAAACGTTTTACATGAATTTCTCTATCAATAAATTTCATATACTTGGTTATCAAACCGTGATCCCGTAGATTACTTAAATCATTACAAATGTTCCAAAAAAAATTAAAATTAACACATTTTTGAACACAACAAAATAATATCAACTAAACAAAACTAGAAAACGTCATTTTTACTGCATCACAAGCAAATAAAAATTAATACGTAGCCAAGAGTCATAATTCAGGATTTCTCTGGGGTGTGCCCAGCAGTACCTGGCGGCACCCGCGGGACCCCTGTAGTTACGCCAATGTTTCTACGTTAGTTTTTATTAAATTCTGTGATTATTAGTTTGTGCATTAATAGCACCCTCTTACTTGCTATTACGTGGCGTTGTAAGATGTACATCAATAAATAAATAAGCAACCCATAATAACGTTTAGAATAATCTTCATAATGGACTAGTTTTTGCCAATATGTATGTAATAAGTAAAATAAGCCATAAAACAAATAAATCAATTAATTACTAAAATATTAGTGATTAAATTAAAAATAAAACGTAAAAATCTTTAAAAAATGATATAATAAATATATTGTTTGTCACTTTTAAATTAAGATTCATCTCATCAAAATCTGGCAGCGCTGTCGCCATCACTTGTCACTCAAAGTTGATCACGTGCATCGGAAATTGTTTTGCGATTACATATATCATATCCACCGAGTTTATAAGATCTAAGCTATTAAACAAGATTACTGAATGTCTCTTACCTTTGCCGTTTTCCATCAGTACCCTGGCCAAACTCTTCGGATTGATCTTGAGAGCTGCCCGTTTCGTTTTGGCCTTCGCCTTCAAAGGCACGCTCTTCGTGACGACCTTCTTAGCCTCTTTCTTGGTCATCTTCTTGCCTATTCCGGGTCCGTTCTGAACCTTGCCCGCAGGTCCCTTGGACGTGGCGTCCACGGCACCCTCGTTTTTGGCGTGGCTGGTGGAGGGCGACGAGGCTACCTCCTTGGGCGCCATTGGTTGCTTCTTAACTCTGGTGGCCATGTCATTTGGGGCGCTGGATGATTGTCACTGATTGTCCTGGAAAGAAACGAACAAAATTAATATACAGATTTACTTAAAACAGCAGAATTTGTGTTAATATCCCAATTAGGATCCCAAAGCCGTCAGACGTTACTTATTTTCTCACAAATAAAATGAATGCATATAGCAGTTCGATATTTATTGGGACTGAACAGTAGAACTCACTGCCAGAATTTCTTTAAAAATTTCAAAATACTGACTCTTCCTTCTTTATTCATTTTTGAATGCGTTTGCTTAATCCGCAAGCACATATCTGCTATTCCCGAAAGGCCATCTCATAACCTATCCACTTTTTATTTAATTATTATCAACTGAGATATAATTTTTAACGTTTTTAACATAATCGTACATTTCTACTGTAAAAAATTGTCTTTATTGCAGTTTGGAATATCTTTTAAACAGTAGTTTAATCGACTAATCATAAGAAACCATTTTTGTAGAGCAGTGAAGGGGGGCACCTCCCAAAAGTAAGGGAAGGGGGGTCGAATTATGTCGGACTAGGATATTTTCAAATTTTTCCTACCCCCCTGCAAAGCAGGGGGCCGTCTCAAAAAAGTCCCAAAAAGTGGGCGTGGCCTCTACCATAAACAAAAATTTTGAAAATTGCAGCAATCGAAAAAATGAGTAGTCCGTTGGAGTCCTGAAGCCTTGGGGAGTCCGGGAAAAATAATGAAAAAATTCGCCCCCCCGGGGGGCAGGGTGCTCAAAAACGTTGAAAGGAGTCCCGAAATCGAAATCTAAGGCCAGGATCGGGTTGAAAGCGTGGTTTTATGCCCTACTTGAAGCATTAGGATTTAGTCTTGAAGCAATGGGCGTGGCAATTGAAGCAAATATAAAAAGTAGTCAGAAATGAAAAAAACAAAATGCTACCGTATTCAGGAGCTCGCGAGGATTCCGAGAAAAATAATGAAAAAATCCCCCCTGTCCTCCTTCTTTGGGGGGACGCCTTTAAAATTGGTTGTTTTTCGTCGGACAAAATTTTCAATAGTCCATTTACACCCTTTGGGTGAACCCCTAGATATAGAAATTTTGTATGGTCGGTTGCCCCCTCTCATTTTTCCAGAATTTTCGTCTAGCCGGTTTTTTTTGAAAGTAATTTTTCGCTTGTATTAATGTGAAACCTTCTGTACTGTGTTTTATAGATAAAATACTAAAATGTTTACCCATTTTATAGATAAAATACTAAAATGTTTACCCATTTTTTTTTCGTTGCTTTTAATTTTTTATTTTAGTAAATTCTTAATTATTTCCTTCTTTATATTTTGATTTTTTTAATTCTTTTTCTAAGTAAATTTATCGAAATAAATCTAATGCATATTATGCACCTATTCTGCTTATATTCTAATCATTTAAATTTTGATTGAAATCGAATTATACAGGGTGGCACGTCATATGCGACGCGGTTTTTGCAAGGGGAACAAAAGTTTGCCTTTGCTTTTGGGCCTAGTCAACACATCTAGTAAGTTCTGGTCCCGAAGCAGGCCCTCTTGACATAAGACTTGCTTCATTTAATCTTCTTCTTGTAGTCCGTTAGTTAATATGTACGGTTCTTAAGTGCAATTCATTATCAATTTGAAAAGCTGGCAAACAGCGGTTTCTTAGCGATAAACTTACAATAAGTCGATCGTCTCAGTTAGAAGTTCTCATACGAAGGTGCGTGGACGTCTAGATTGACGTCCTCATGGACGTGGTCATAATTCAAAGACCATTTAGTATATTCTATGGTATGAAGGTACTTTTGGAACCGGAATTTTATAGCGAATAAATAAATGATATATATTTGACTCACCCTGTATATCTATAAATATAGATACACAGGGTGAGTCAAATATATATCATTTATTTATTCGAGTTCAGTGAATTTATTTATTCGAGTTCAGTGAAAAAAAAACAAATATCTCGGGCACGAAATACAAATCGGAAAGAACAACCAAACACACGAGATACAGAGCAGAATAGGTTTGGGTTGGGCTGCTTTTGGCAAACTGCGGGAGACCTTTAAAAGTGATATATCCATATGCTTGAAGAGGAAAGTTTATGAACAATGCGTCTTGCCGGTAATTACATATGGAGCGGAAACTCTAACATTAACGAAAAAGTCAGCAGAAAATTTAAGAGTAGCCCAGAGAGCCATGGAGAGAGCCATGCTTGGAATAACTAAAAGAGACAAAATTCCTAATAACACTATCAGACAAAAAAAATTAAAGACATAGTGGAACACGTAACTCGAATGAAATGGAGATGGGCAGGTCATGTGGCGAGAACATCTAAAGACAGGTGGACTAGAAGATTGTTAGAATGGCGACCTCGAGCAGATAAACGTAGCAGAGACAGACCACCGACACGCTGGACCGATGATGTAAAGAGGATTGCTGGAAATTGGATGATGACGGCCCAAAATCGAGAGACATGGAGAAATATGGAGGAGGCCTACGTTCAGCAATGGACAACGATGGCTACATGATGATGATGATGATGATGTATATCTATAAAAATATTTTTGAAATGTGAACTACCACTAAACATATATTTTGTAAAAGGTTTGGGGTGAAAATCTCAATTCCCAACTTCCTACTTTTTTTTAGAGGCCATAATACATGTAATAATGTATCAATGTAATATATATATATATATATATATATATATATATATATATATATATATATATATATATATATATATATATATATATATATATATATATATATATATATATATATATATATATATATATATATATATATATATATATATATATATATATATATAAAAAAAATTGTTTTATTAATTTAAAACTTAAATTTAACATTATAACATGCATAAATAATTATTGTAATGTAATGTAAGCATTCAGAACGTCATAATTAGTGGTAGTATTTTCAGTTATTGGAAAAAGTTAACATACTTTTGATTGTTTCACTAATTATACCTCAAAATTTGCGAGGAATGTCATTTTGGCCTTTGATGATCACCCGTCAAGAAAAATTTTGGTTAGAAATCAAAAGTGATGAAAATGATTGTTTTATAAGCTAAATATTAGGCTTTCTCTATGGATACAGCTGATTAACGCAAGCTGTTGCTAGGATATTCTATTAATTTTAATTGTGTTTTCTAAATATTGTGATTGATTGTAAACTAAAAAGTATAAAGTGTAATTGAAACCACTAATTTATTCCACTAATTGCGAGGTTCTGAATTAAACTTAAAAAAACGAGATAAGGTGAGAGGAATACCTATCAAGAAACTATTGTATTTTTTCTAACTTGAGTCCATGATTCATTAAATTTCGGGTAAATAACGTTTTTGTGACGAATTTAATATAAAATGTATTGATTTAGAAGAAAAAAAAATGTTTAAATTTTTTATCAAAATTTTTTTTTATTTAATTATCAAATAAGATATAATTTTTAACATTTTTTTTACAATGATTGTACATTTCTACTGTAAAAATTGTCTTTATTGCAGTTCGGGTAATTTTTTTAATTGAAATTGTTCGAATTATTAATCAAAAACTGTTAAAATTATTGTGCATTGCAGTTTGACGATGAATATCTTTTAAACTGTTAATTTAATCGACTAATCATAAGAAACGATTTTTGTAGAGCAGTGGATTTCCTTCAAAACCTTGAGTTGCACGTATCATAATGATTTTATTTCAACAAGTTATATAATTCATAAGAAAAAAGAAATCTGCCTTAAAATAATCAAATTTCAACCACAGTTTAAAGAATACATACCAGTTGGCCCACTCTAAGGAATTCTATTGTTTTTTTGACTTCAAAGTCGGCGAGGTGACAAAAAATTTGTACGTTTACCGGGTGCAGCGGAAGTGCTATTTTATCAGTCAGAACTAGGGGATTCAATCCCGGACAATTTTATGTTGTCGGGATCTCGGGATTCTTAACCCCGAATCTCGGGATCCCGGGATTGAATCTTTTCAGTAATTTCAGTAATAATGCTACCAATGTTACTTTCAAAGAACATTTTATTAAAATTCCTGGAGACAAACGGTACATTGTGAGACAGGAAATTGTAGAGAGAAACAAGCCCTATAACATAGGATACAACATTTTAATGAACAGTGCTTTCCATAAAATCAATAAAATGAAAAATATACGAAATAAAATAAATGTACCGATTTCTTTCGAAAATCGACATCTATAAAAATATGAACCCTTCCTGGACACAAACGGTACATTGTGAGACAGGAAATTGTAGAGCGAAACAAGCCCTATAACATAGGATACAACAATTTAATGAAGAGTGCTTTTCACAAAATCAATAAAATGAAAAATATACGAAATAATATACATGTTGTGATTTCTTTCGAAAATCGACATCTATGAAACTATGAACCCTTCCTGGACCACGTTGTCCACTCTTCTGGAACGTATCCATTTCATTTTTTATTTGGGCTTCCAAGTTTTCAGTTTTTCTTACTGGTGGCACTGTCCATGCACTGTCATTCAATTTGATATTTTTTTGGTTAACGGTTCATCTAGCCTCTCCGAAAATGACACGTCATCATTTAAGGCCTGGTACCTGTTCTGAATAGTAGCAATTGGCAAATCTTCATCCGATTCCGAACTATCTGAAGAATCTAATATGATTTTACTTGTTATATCTAGTCGTTTTAAGAGATTTGCTACTTCTTGTTTCAAAAGTTTTTTATTATTCCGGGAATCACCGACGTATCGCTTGTCGGCGGCGCGCGGCGGCGCGGCGCTATAAGGAAATAAGGAATTCAACTAAAAGAGTTTTTGCATATACAACCTTAAAAATAGCGTTTTACTATATTATATAAAATCCCGGGATCTGTTATTATTTTCCCGGGATCCCGGGATTGAAAAAATCCGATAAAAAACGTCGGAATCCCGGGATTGAATCCCCTAGTCAGAACGCTGGTTGTATACGAGGGATCAACTAAAAATACTAAGGAATTTTAATATAGCAAGTAGAAAAATAAAAATACAGTACTAGTTTTATTGATTAACAGC